AACATCTCTAAGACGATTGGCGGTGGTNGGGGGGGGGGGCGAAGTCCTCCCTGGAGTTGGCGAGCGAAGCGACCAGGGAGCAAAGCCCCCTAGTACGTTAATACACTTACAATGAAATCAAGTGGTTAACAACATTGTTTATAACTAAATATAGCTATCATTGATAATTAATTACCCATATACTTCCGAATGAACAGAACTCCGGTTCTAATCTATCATCTACTTTAATAATCGAAACTTTTCCGAACCGTAATAGATAGAAATTGCTTCCATGCGAAAACGAAAAGCACACTGAGAGAAAAAATTACTTTTGCCATGTGAATGTACTAACTAAAAGAAAATCCACACATTTCAAATGCAAATATATATATATATATATATATATATATATATATATATATATATATATNATATATATATATATATATATATATATATATATATATTGACTTGTGACAAGTAAATTTGCTTGGCAAGAGTAATTTTTTTTCTCAGTGCATTGAATCCACCAAAATATTTGCTTATTCAAGCCGAAAGCCGAATAAAATAGACGAAATGTTGAATCGATTTAAGAAAATACCTCTAAAAACAATCAAACATCGCAATTCCTTCTACAATTTCTCAAAATCATCACCAAAAAATGTGAAGACATACCAAAAACCGCAGTTTGACGATTTTCAACGCTAATATACGAGTGGCAATCTAGAAAAGAGAACATCTGGCCGAGTGAATTTCTGGGGATCTCTGTCCAATAAGATTACGTTTAGTTGAACTTCTTCAGTACAATATAACGTAGAGGCGGTAAGGTTCGTACATTTGCATTATTACATATTCATGAATTCAATGGAGAAGTTTCTAGGAGCCAGGGTTATTCTTCTCGGAGCATGTCAATCAGTCCAAGCTCACCATTCCAAAGGATCTGTATTTTTTTCTTTCCAAAGCTGAAGTGATTCACCGAGAATATTAAAGATATTAATTCCGGGATTTTTCCGGCGATGAGAGTCTCCATGAAATTTCATTATGCAGTGGTTATTTCGGTCAAAGTGGCTCTGCACTGAAGATTTGGGGGGAAGAATTACGATAATTGGTATCCACGGACTCTGATTAGCCAGATGTTATAGCCGCCATCGAATACAATCGAAACCACGTTTCTATCTCGGTGTACATTGGTGCCTTAACAACTGGTACATATATAAGTAATAAATTTACAGCGGGATTCAGCAGTGTGGCAAGCACTGGGTTCTCCCTGTCACAACTCATAATCAACAGCATTAACCGGGCGACACGTAACAACAGGGTATCAACGACCCTATGCATTCCAATAATACGACCCAGACTGGACTAACGAACACGCGCACGATAACGAGGTGCGGTCGAGTTACAACACGAGTGGAGTTTCGTCATAACGGTGTATCGTTGATATAATTATTTCAATGACTGAACATTATCGATTTTTTTACTTTACATTTTATTTGCAGAGAAAAAATGACGATTTTCAGGAATATGTTGTTGATTTCTAGGGATATATCACGGATTTTTAGAACGATATCGTTAATTTTTGGTGATGCTGGACCCTGAGGAGAATAATATTCGTTGACAGTGATTTCTACCACTGAAATTTAGTGATAGATTTCTAAAAATCAAAACATTTTTTTTTTGGCCCTTTTGGGGGGATAGATGTTGCGTTTTTACTCATCTCGATGCCAGTTATGAGGCGAAAGTTCGGTAATAAGCATGCAATCAATTTTCTTGATTGCATGCTTATCAAGGTATTGAATTCGAGGTATTCAAGTTCGTTTGATATTTTTCTCCCATTACAATCCTTTTCGAGATTTGTAGCTGAACTTCGAAGGTCTACACTTCATTCTACATTTGTCACTATTGAAGAAATCCGTTTTTTACAGAAAATGTCCGATAGAAACTATTTTGTAGAAACAATGAGCAGAATTTTATCTTACGATTTTTCTTGAGAAAATTCTTAAGAAATTTCTATAATTTTTCTATTTAAACGTTTTCTAGAGGAATTCCTCGACAAGAATTTTCCAAAGTTTTCTACTCTATTATTCGTATCATGTCATTTCTGAAATTATTTGAAAAAATCAGACAAAATAACTTCGAACATTTGAGCCGAGGAATTTCTATAGAAAATATCGCAATTAAAGGAGTTCTGCAGAAAAATTGAAATCTATAGATTTCTTTTTTCTGTAGAATATTTTTCATTTAAGAAAATATTCTGGAAGAAAGGCAGATAAGCTGCGGAATTTTTCAATAGAATCGATCAAAAACTAATAGAAAATGTAACGGAAATCTGATAGAATTTTCAAGCGAATTCGCTGTTCTTCTATGACACTTTTTCGTGCCCTGAATGCACTTCGCATAATGGCATTTTGCGAAGTATTTTTCTTCCCCACATCCATACAAAAGGAAAATATCAAATGCACCATGTTGAATATTCTCGTTACAATGGTGAATACTTTGAACGTTTCAGACCAGTTTTATAAAGAACTCCATTTGTTAGCCAATAAGAACGCGGTGGAAGTGAAGGGAGAATCTCCGCAGAGGGAATTGAGCTGAAATTGACGTTGAAGACATGCTGCGAAGGAAAATCTAGTTTGCGTTATTTCATTTAAAAAAACACATATTCACTCTGAGAAGATTTGAAATTGATAGGACACAGTGTCATGAACGGAAGTCTCCGGCTATCTTAAAGTAGTATAAATGTAACTCTGAAATAAATTTTAAAAAATTAAATATTTGAAATAAACATAACTCTGAAATAAATTTTAAATGGAATTTAATATAGATAGAAACATTCTAGTTAAGTTTGCGCTCAATCGGCAGTTGAGTATCATTGACAATACGTATCATTGATAAAAACAGTCTTATGGGCCTGTTTTTATCACCGTAGTCAAACGAGAGACTATTCTTTAAAAAAATCATTGAAGTATGAACTTGACGAATTAATTCCTCACATTCATCAAACTTAGAATTCATATTAAACATTTTCAACGATGAATATTTTTTTTTGTATTTTAAATTGATCTTCTGCCGTTACACTCAACGACTCAACTAGAGTCTATTCACACTACTTTAAATGGAATCATTTCCGCTCGGAGGACCGTATTGAAATAGGGTTTGACTGCCATCTAGGTGCGTTAACGCACACTACGATGTGAGTGCTGTACTGCGGATGAAATACTGATGCCTTATCGGAAGTTGAGTGGATGCCGATAAACGGAAATCTACTGACAATTCAAATTCAAAGTTCTTCCGTATTGAAAAAAAAGGAAAATTATTTCTTCGTTCCATTTACTCAAGTATTAGATAATATCCCAGAAAATTCGAAGGATTGTTCCTATTTTTATTTATTAAAAATATAAATACAGTATTGTTTATTCATTTCCTAGATTAAGAATAGAAAAAAAGAAACATCTGCCACGAAATTTTCATAAGGAAAATCTCAGTAGAATAAATTTTAGAGAAGAATTGAAATCTATCAATGTTTTGCGATCAATAAATAATTGTCAATTGAAAAAAAATGCAGGAGATGTGGAAATCTCAATAGAAATCGAAAAAAAGTCATAAAAGTTTCAATGAAATTCCCGAACACGCGCTAAATTTTTTCATTTTTCCATTCCAAATAAAATAAAAACTAAATTAAATTATTCCATTTTTTTACTCCATTCCAAAAGGTTCGGAAAATGTAATTGAAACAGCATCGTCGGATACCAGTAGTTTTCTCGAATAGTTCACATGCGTTACAGTCTTCACCGCAGACTAGACAGCCCCGGAACAGCTCCAGTTTACGGTTGATGAGTGTTCACACTCCGGAATGAGACACCTGATATAAATTCAATACACGATGCCAACTCAAGTATCCCTAAGTCATTTCACACAAGGCATTATTACACTTGATGTTGGATGAGGAAATGAGGAAACATGATCTCAGGGAACTTTTGCTCAGCATTTCCATCATACTCGTCTTACAGAGGATACCGAGGAACGTTGGTTGAAGACTAAAGTAGTTTAGGAGGATGTTACATAGACTTAATGTCAATATTCTGTTTGCTCACGCTCGCAGTCTGCCTCACCAGACGTAAATGCATAACCAAGGGTAAAACAGGATGATAATGCGAGGGGTAAACGATATATTCTCGTTTCTTTCATCTTCGCTGTTGACAAATTTTGGCTGAAATTTCCGGTACACTTCTTGGGAATTTTCATCACATGATAGTTCCACTGAAATTGGAAGGAATTTTGTAATTGAAAAATTACCATGTGACGAGAAAACCAATGGAAATCGTAAATTTCAGTTTAATTATTCCTTCAAAATTAACAGAAATCAGGAAAATTCAGGTGAACATATCGTTGAATGTTGGATTAATTGGAAATTCAGTGTAATTTGGTACCTCTTGTTATTCAAAATTTTGAAATTTTATTGAATATTCAATGAAAACTGAAATTTCATGATTTTTCGTCGTATGCGTCAAATCCGAAATTTCAATTTGTTTTGTGTCAGGATAACTAATTTTGGTCTCAGGAATTCGAATGGAGTATGTATGTATGTGTCTGCATATGTGTATAATTATTATTTAAATGAATTCAATTGTGATTTAAAATATTCTTCTCAATGTCCTCTTGACCGACTTCGAGAATGAGATTGCATCGTTTTTTGCTGAAAAAAAATGTTTTGAAACCAATTTTCAGGAAAAGGTAAAAAATATTAATACGTTGGGGCAATGTTGAATTCAATGAATCATTGAATTCAATTTAAAATACATCGTCATAAAAATTCCATTAGGAAGCAAATTACCAATTTATTAGCAAAAATATATTGACTATACAGCGACGAAAGCAATTTCCCACTTGTTTTCTTCACTTGTCTTAAATTGCTAATTTAATGTCATTTTTCTGAAAAGTACTAGTTCGTGGTCTACAAAATTTAGATTTTTCTCTACCAGTGGCTGTTCGATCACGCATATAAATAATAAATTCAAACATTGAAAATCGGATAGTTTAATATTCAGAAAAAACTATAAAATTGTTCACAAATTTCTTTCTCTCCATAAATTGTAAAATAATCAAGTAAGTTTGATTTCCAGCGCTCAGTGCTGCAAATAAAAATACTGCTCAATCCTTATGAATATCTCTTCGACCTATCACCGCAATTCTCGGATGAATGGACCGTCAAGCATTGAACACTTTTCAATTATGCAATCATAATTATGAATACTTTCAAATTGTCTCCTAAAATTAAACGCAGTATTACGTGCAATTATAGATGTCTTCACTTTTCTTTGGTTTCCCGATATTCTCGGCCTCTGCCACAGTGTCCGGTAGTTTTATGTCCAGAGTCTCTGGGAAAACGAGTGAAACTATTCCAGCGAGTATTCCCATGGATCCGAAGAGGATTAGGGGAAGAGATGCTATAATTGTCGCCTGAAACAATTCACACTTAATGATCCTGTTCAAGTGCATGGTCATAAAGTTCAGGGGAAAAACAAGGAATATTGGGGAGAGTGATGACAAGAATTGTTATCGATGACGGGGATGATTCCTCACTTCAGTTGAAAAAAAAATAGAACAATGAATCGTCAATCGATTCAGGATACCCAAGTATTTTTTACACTTTCGTTCAGACCAGACTACAGATTCAACCATTTTCAATCATCAAATTTGTCAATTAACTTGAGAAACATTTGTTTGATTGAATTATTATTTTTTTAACATTTGTTGTTTATAAATGAATAATTGAAATTTTTTAAACTTTCGGAAACCTTATTTTTTTAGGCATTCAATCGATTTCTGATAAAATTCTGAATGTGAATAAATTTTTTACGGTTTCGATCAAATGATTTTTACGATATAAATTTGATTGTTTAAACATTTTTATACAAAATTCTCGTAATTTTCAAAAATTGCAATTTTTAAATTATTTCATCAATCTTCCTCTAAAAGTAAACTTTATATTTTTTTCGGATTTTTAAAATATTTTCCAACGGTTCAATATCGACATTCATATTCAAACCTGCAAAGAGACTTACGTTCAAATAAGAGCTTAAATAAAAGCTCTGATGATCAACTACAGAAGGAGAAAAAGCATTTCACTGGAGACAAAATAGGCGAAGTACTTGGATATCCTTAAATAGAATTATTTCCATTACAATTCCATGAACAGTGCTATTAATCCTCATTTCCCACCTTATATTCCACGGAAAATATTGAATAAAAAACTATTAATTTTTATTTTATTTTTCTATTCAATTTATGCTATTGTGATATTTTCAACAGAATTTCCTCGGCATAATTCTTCTCATTTATTTCACTGTTTTTCTTATTTCATTATAAAATTCTAGCGGTGGAATTCCTGTAGAAACAATCTCAACACAATAACTTGCAGAAAAAAAAATCAGAATGTCCTGATTTCTCTATACATTTTCCATTAAAAAATTCTGTTTAATAAAACACAGAATTTTCTTGGAGGCCATTAATGAACAATACTCACCAAAAGACGAGTTTGCGGAGCAAGAATGGAGCCAATGCGTCCAGTCATACTGCAAATACTGAGCAAGAAGTGTCTGGCAGTCGTGGGGAACATTTCAGTCGTATAAATATAAACAGTAGCGAATGCCATCGTAATGCATCCTTTGCCACCCATATAGAGGATTAAAGGTGCATACGACCATGAATCTTAACAAACAACAATCAAATTGTCTCATCAACGAATGCTACCATGAAAATAACAAGACGTGAGTGAAATAGAAATAGTCTACTCGTTGGTTTACCTTTCGGCACAAATTGTATTGCCAGGCAGAATATTCCACTGAACAGGAATGAACCGGATAGGGTGGGTTTCCTTCCAACGTAATCAATCAGTATCCAACTGAGGAAGTAAGCCGGTATTTCCACTAATGACACCAATATAAAGTTCACGTATTTGTCCCCGGCAAATGCCACGGCATTCAGGGACATTCCGTAGTACACAAAGGTATTGGTCAGCCAGCAGAGGCAACACGCGAGCAGCCTTACGAGTAGTTTCGGCCTCGATAGGGCCTCTCGCACTGGCACACTGCTGCTTGATTTGCTTTCTGATTTCTGTAATTGATATACATTCGGTGAATTCGGATGCCCCAGATGATTTTTTCGGAAAGTAGGAAAGAGAAATGATTTTTTTCGTCATACACCGAGAGAAATTTTCTATAAAAATTCCAGTACGGGTACTGGAAAAAATTACAATCCACCGGTTGTGAAAAATTTTAGTGCTGTTAAGGTAAAATTTCTTGGTATTTCTGGTAAAATTACTGGGGAAAAATTTCTGTGAAATTTTCACAAAAATACGGGGAAAAATTCACGTTTTCTCCAATAAAATTTCTAGTGCCAGCACTGAAATTTTTTCCTGGCCATCACTTTGCGCCTCTTTTCCCCTGCAAACATTAGAATTTTTCTTAAAAAATCCTCTCCGTGTGTGACATAAATTTGTCATATGACGAAAAGAAATAACAAAAAATTGAAAAAAATAAATAAATTTATGTGATCGTCATATGACGTCATATTTTCTTCGTCATAATTTAAGTAGTTTGACGTTGTGACTTCAATTTAGATGGAATATGACGCGTTCGTGAACCCCTGCCTTACGGCCGGACTGACAAAAAGAGATTCTCAATACAACACTTTCAAAATTTCCAAACGTTCAATACTCATTTCATACTCCTTTTTCATGTAAATTTACCTTTTCAGTATTAGTAACGTTCAGTTCTTCGTAGATACTCATTGGCATGTGAGTGTTCTCTAAGCCATTCATATCGGCCATCCTTTTGCATATCTTTTCAACTTCCTTATGCTTCCCTTTCGCGGCTAGCCACCTGACGAGAACAACAGATATTCATAGAACAAAGTCCTAGCAGTCATACAACAAAAATAGTCCGAAAATTTCAAGCAGATTTCAACATCTAGAAAACTTTTGTTCTCTCATCTTTGAAGTTCTCAACAAAAATCTGTATAATCTGCAAAGACTTAAAATATTTACGCAATGGATTCGGGAATGATCAGTGGTAGAAAAATGGCGAGCAATCCAGGCGCAAAGATGGCTCTCAGAAGAGGTCGCCAAGATTTTAAGCTCATCGCCACAGCCCCTAGATACATTTCCCCAACAGCATACATTCCTCCGATAAAGGTGGCCCCCAGAACTCGCTTTTTCCCACCTACCATTTCCATACCTGTAATCAAATAATTGATAGGTCAAGTCGAACCCATATTATTCCCCCGCGATGTGTATCAACAGCTGCTCAACAAGCAATAAACGAGTTTAATCAATCCGCTGATTACAGATTATCGGATAGACTCGGTATCTACGTGGACAGTGGCACTTATCGCACTACTGTCCACAATGAATTCAGTGAAAGGTCGATTGGATGAAGATTGAGGAACGTCTAATGGGGTCGTATGTCAGTGGAAGTTGAAACAAGCGCGATTATCCTGTGTAAAGATTCATCCGTACAGCTGCGGAACAGTAATTACAGTCGTGAATGGATGGATCAGCACAAATGCATTAGTTCTCTTATCGAAATCTGTTCGTCACACCACTATTATCGGCTCCATCGTTCACAGATGTAATGGTAATTCACTTCTAATCACTCTGGATTTGTGATTCGTGGACTGGGAGAGTGAGGGCTAACTCACCCAGGATGAAACCGGAGCTGTAGATACCCGCTGCAGAGACTGCCATGAGGAACTCCATGCTCATGAACATCATGTAGTTGATGGAGAACGATTGGATGAGCCCACAGGCTCCACTCACGAAGGTTTCTACCACTAGACAGGTCCTTCTTCCATATCTGAGGGAATGCGATTAATTTTTTTTGGGGTTTGAGCAGGAACTTTGCTCAGGTTTTGTGGAGATTTTCAGTTGCATTTGGGACTATTCGACGCTTTTGGAGGTTTCGATTATAACTTGAATTCTTTACAGATTGAAGTTTTAAAATTATGGTCTTCGGAATTTTCATTAATTTTATATATTTTTGGTATCATGTGGTATTGAAATTCAAATTCCCTAGAATTGAATGATCTTGCATTCATAAATAAATTGAAATTTTACATGAAGTAATATTGATCACTTTGAAAAAATTCATCCACCAAAAAATAGAATAATCGAACCTAGTAAATTCGGTGGTAAATTCTATTGAAAATTCTACGGATTTCCTGCGCTTTTTGTAAACAAAAATGTGCAGCTTAAAACGTTTTTTATTTTCATTCTTATTTTCGATGAAATTCGTTGGAAGTTTAAGCAAACTGAGTAAATTTAATTCATCGATTAGTTTTTTTTTATATTTGATTTTTTTCGAAAATCCGTTGTTCCACGATAACTAAAAAAATGCTCTGAATTGATTAAAATGTTTGTTTTAATGCCATTAAGTCGAAGTTGAAAGATGATTACGATAGCTATCTTGGTTGATTTAATTTTTATGATGATTGTTGAAAATGTCGATTTTTTTATGAATTTCCCTGAAAGTGAACTTTCTGATGGTTTCTTCAAATGTGATGTTTCGAATTCTTTCAATTATGTATAAAAAAATGTCTATCAACATTTTATCGAAGGCCTGAGGGGAGCGATAAAACCGTAAAAAATACAATTGGTTGTATAGACGAAAGGGATAATAAGAATAACGATTATAGCATTCAACTAATGGTGAGTTGAAACTCTGACGAAGAGTTGACGAAGAAGAAATCTGATTCAATTCAATAAGATGAAATAATAGAAGGAAATGATGTATAAAATAACCATTGTAAAAAATGTTGCTAATTTATTAGCAAAAATAACTATACTATAGGCAATACGAGAGCAATTCCTACTGGTTTTTCGCTGTTCAACAAAATTTTGGTGACCCACACACGCCCGTATCGGGATGGTTCTAGAGGTCATGAAACATGGAGAAATCATGAAAATTCTCCATTTTACCGCAAGAATAACGAAACAATAGATAGATGAAATTAACATACCTGTCGGACAAGTATCCAGCAAACATCAATCCTACGAGTTGTCCGATGTTGTTTACCGTCCCAACCATAGCTAGTTTCCACCGATTCTCATCGCATGTAAAATTCCACTACACAAAAATTGACGAGTGTACAGATAAGAACACCCTTAAAAAAATTAAATTTCATGGACAATTGACTACTAATTTTCAGGGCAGTGACACTGAATTCGATTTAGGGGGAAAAAATAGTGAAATTTCCGGTTTCACTGAAAATTCAGTAAAATTCCAGAATTTTAAGCCGCATAAAGCCGAGAATTCCTTAATTTATTTAAATTTTCCATCTAATATGAATATTCAATGCAAAATTACATTGAATTTTCAGTGAAATCTCAGTCCTAAAAATTTAAGAATATATTTAACGCAATTTTTTGATTTTTGTTCATTTTTAGGGAAAAATGGAACTGAAATCCACGAAATTCTGAATTTTCAATGACGAAGTTCCTTAAAATTTCAGTGGTAATTAAACTCAATAAAACTTTCCAAAAAGTGTACCGAAAATTTCAAACAAAATTTTTAACAGTGGATGAACGGAGTCATCTCCATAAAACTGAATAACAAAATTGAAGGATCTCCGTCTCTACCTCGCTCAGAATAGTCTCCTCCTTTGGATCGTACACCCAACTATCGCACTTTTCAACTCTATTACTGAAGGAATCCTTCGAACACTCTCCATCCACATTATCCTTCACCTGGTATCTGTCACAACTACCGAACAAACCATCGCTCTTCGGCCTAGAATGGGCAGCCCAGCTACTGTGCCAATTTGCGGTTGATGAATTTTCGCACTCGGGAATGAGACACCTGATATAAATTCAATCCATTATGGTAACTCAAGTAAGTATCTCTAAGTCATTTCACTCGAGGTATTACTCTTGATGTTGGACGAGGAAATGAGGGAACATGATCTTACGAAACCTTTGTTCAACATCTCCATCATACTCGTCTTACGGAGGATTCTGAAGAGCGTTGGTTAACGTCTGAAGTAGTTTGAAGGAAGCTACATAGACTTAATGCCAATATTCTGTTTGCTGTTACCTGTAGTCTACTTCGCCAGACGTGAATGCATAACAAAGGGTGAAACCGGCTGATAAGGCGAGGGGTAAACTCACGGCAATGTACACTATTATTTGGTATTTTCCTATTTTGTTCATCTCTGTAATGCCACGTGTGCTAATGCCCTCATCTAAATACAAAAACAGACATTATTACGTTTCTAACATCCACGGGAGGATTTCTATTCAGTAGATATTCAAGTATTTTTTACAGTTTGACACAGACCACACTATAGATTCATTCAAATTACATTTTGCACAGAATTATTATTTTTTTAACATTCGTTGTTTATAAATAAATAATTGAAATTGTTTAAACTTTCGGAAACCGTATTTTTTAGACATGACATCGACTTTTGGTAAAATTTGAAACAAATAAGTTTTATGGTGGAAAATTGAGTGATTATAAATGATTTATAGGAAATCCTCGTAATTAAAAAAAATTGGAATTATTAAATTATTTCATCAATCTTCCCCCAAAAGTAAACTTCCCAAATTTTTTTCAGTTTTTTTAAATGTTTTCCAACAGTCTAATATCGAGATTCAAATTCACACCTATAAAGTTTAGATAATAAAATCAATGTAAAATGTCCGGAAACTGAGAGTCAAATGGGGCTCAAATGAAAGCTTTAATGTTCGACGACTACAAAAAAATGGCCAAAAAAATAAAAAAAAGTAGAGAGTATCGGAAAATAATTCTTTTTTCTTGTAATAAAAAATCATTGTAATAAAAAATAGCTACAATATTTGGATATCCGTAAGTCGATCTAGCCCTTGGCTGCGCTTTCGAAGAATATCTCCGAATCTAAGGGAAATAACAAAATTTTCAAAATTACATTTTTTATGCCGCGAATTGAAGGCTACAAAAAAGGCCGTGACAAAAATCTTACTATCTCCTTTAGATTTCAAGATATTCATTGAAAACTAACCAATTCCAAAGGTTTTCTGCTCATTTTTTCATTCAATAAAAATGTCCAATGAAAAACACTTTTCAACAAAAATTAACAGATTTCGATCTTGCAATTACTGTGAAAAATATCTGAATAGAATAAGTTTCAATTAAAGATGAAAATCTACTGATTTTCTTATCACGTTTTTTTGTTTTCAATCAATGCATTTTTACAATATACCTTGACTTTCTTTGGATTTCGTGGGTGAACCCATCTCTTCCGATTCCGCCACTGCCATTCCGGTCTCCTGATAAGCCTAGAAATTAACGAAGAAATGACTACTTCATTAGTTACTCAAGAAGAACACAGTTACGAGTGTTATTTTTTTAATAATCTCTTTCAAAAATATTCGACTGATTAGAAATGTCAAGTGGAATGCGACAAACCATGAATGCAACGAAGAAACAAAATGATTATTAGCGCAATCTTATCCACATTGACGCCCGTCGCTTCGATCCTCCGCACATTGAAGCATTCATTATGGATTTATGGTAATTCATTCAAAACTATTCAATGTCGTGAGGATAATAGCTTCATTGACGAGAGGAATGATAAATCATATTCATCTCAAAGAGTTTTTTGCTCTTAAAGTATTCACTATTTCTTTAATATTAATTGCTCCTGTAAAACTGTTTTTTGAAATTCAGTTTTTTGCGCACGAATTTCGATAAGATTTTCCTCAGAATTTAAATAATTTTTCAGACCGATTATTGCTGTGGACACGTGCGGAAAAAATTCAATAGGTTTATCAGAATTCTATAGATTTTTCCCAATTTTTAGCGAGAAATATTTAACGTTAACAAATTATTAAATATAATTTTTCCGTACAACTCATTCTGTCGAGATTTTTTCGACTGAAATTTCTCGCAATAAATTTTTCTAGTTTATTTTAAAAACCTGGACAATTTAAAGAGAGGAGCATCCGCGCAAAACATTAGCAGCAACAAATAGTATTAAAAAATTAAAGCATTAAGAACAAAAAAAAGTGCAAATAAATAGAATTCCAATAAAAATTTCCAGCAAATGCACTAGATTTTTCTAACAATTTTTGTCTTACGTAAAGTCCCCACAATCAGTCGTTTATCATTCGACGCAAAATAATTTTCCACCACTTGCGAACATGGAAAAACCACATACCAGTCGATAGATCGAAACAGACGTATGCTCAGAGTCAACTGTGTATCTTCTTCGTCCACTGTTGCGCCCACGCTGCACGCAATACACTCAGTCAGTTGACAAAGACAATCTCCGAATGAAGTCTCCTTTCTCTCGGCTTACTCACGCGGCATGGTCATGAAATGAAAAGCTGTGACGCAGAGTTCAATATTGTCTTTATTGTGGGCTCGTGCTTTAACGAGAGAGGATTAATTATTCCCACTGCGGGGGGTCAATTCCGCGAACACGCCGACAGTCATGTCTTCATGGAGTGTAAGATAGAGTTTTTGGAATTTTTAGTTATACTTTACGAGTAATAAATAATAATGAATCGAGTGGTAGTTATTTATGATCAGTTTGCCGGCGATTATCTGAGTTTGTTCAGACAAATTTATCATTGTTTTTTGTTATCGAACGATTTTATCGGAAGGAAAGTAAAATAGAGTGGAGAATAATTTGAGGATAAACAACGTTCAATGTCAGGGCTTGTAATAATTTACCTTCCGTAGTGAAATAGAGGAAAGATAAGTTAACTACACTGCAGGAAGTTTCCGATGAATATCTTCTATGCTGAGAGAAATATCTGTTGCAAACTACCCCTTTATTCTAGTTGTCGTGTAGTGCATCGGCTTTTCCGCAATTATTTACAAAACTCAAATAAGAAAAGTACAATATTTTTATGAAAGTTTTACTTAAATTGCCGGAATGAAAGCTCCGCCCGCCAACCTCCGTATGACCCCCTCATAGCCCCATATAACCCTCATGACCCTTATTTAGACCCTTATTTTGACTCTCGTGACCCTTTTTTGACTTTTAATTTTGGAGTCAATTTTGAGTTCCAAATTTTCATCACCAGAAGTCGATTAGGATTTTCATAACGTGGAGAGATGACTCTTATTTGGATCCTTAATCTGACCCTTCAAACTTCAATCTGCCCCTTGTTACCCTTATTTGGAACCTTGACCTTGTCACGCTTAAACTTGTGACCCTTGTGATCCGTAATCTGACTGTCCTGACCCTCATGACCCTTGACATGACCCTCGGGTCTCTTAATCTGTAATCATGAATATTCCTATATCTTCTTTCATTATATGCTTCAAGAACCGAAGAAGCATTGAAAAATTTTGAAACAAAACGTCCGTTTTATCTATCTATCGGTACGTTAACGATCACTGTTCAGTTGCGCCATCAGTATCGCACACTTCCACGTCAATTTTATCATCACATTTAGTTCCAATTAATTTTCACAGAGACCTTTTGTATATCTTTCGTACAAATTTTATTTTATAGAAATTCTTCAACTTGAAATGTACAAATTATTCACTATATTTTTTTATTTTCTCAAAATTTCAGGCAAAAATTCAGATAATACACGTCAAGAATTGCTATATAAACAATTTTAAAAGAGTTATTTTATAGAAAGATGAAAATATATTGATATTTTCTACGAAATTTTTTCGTTTTCATTTTTCTAAATATTTAAATTTACATGTTCAATGTTTATTGATTTAAAATCGACTCGAAAATTTAACACGAATATTCAACGAACATCTAAACATCAATGGATGCTTTAGATTTTCAAAGCCTGTATGGTAAATTTGGTTGAAAATTTTTTAAATACACGAAAAAAAATCATACGACGAAATGCAATGAAATATCTCGACTTTATCATGCCCCACTGAGACAAGAAAATTCCCCACTTGCATCAAGATCGACCGCAAAAACCTGTATTAAGTACTCAGTTATGATAACACTGTTTCATATTTACCTGTGTAATCGAACCGATGCCCGGTGCAATCACCGCCGATATTGCGTATACGGCGGGTTCCCCTTTTTTCACTTCTCATTGACACTAATAACGAAGGACAACCGCATATGCTATAGCACTTAGACTCGGTCGATTCACCACTTCTTGTTGCCCTGATTGCCGGAAAAAGGGACTTCAATATTTAATTCACAGAAATTGTTGTTTCGAGTATTGCCGCACATGTTCCCGCGCAAATGTCGCTCCCAGGCGGCACGACAACGACCCACATCCACCTCGAGCAGGTCAACTAGGTCTGTATCCCCGAATGCACTATTATCGATACACTCCACTCTATTTCGTATTTCAAAACCCTTTTTATTAAAATTAAACTCAAAATATCATGAAATTTCTATTTCAAAATTTCGCTTACAATTTTGCCCTCGATTTATACATTTAAATGCCCATGAAAATATTCATTAACGGTTCACAAAAATTATTTAATGAGTAAGTTTCATTGAAAAGGGAATTTAAAATTGAATTGCCCCAACAACTTCAGTAAAAAATTCTGCAGTAACATTCAAAAAATTCTTCTTCAGTGAAAAACTCTTCAGTAAAAAATCAAGAATATATTTTCTTCATTTTCACAACAATATAAAGGACTTCTTCAATATTTAATTCACAGAAATGGTTCTGTTGCCGAGTATTGACCTGCACGCTTCCGTTTTTTATTTCACGCACAAGTGATGACACATTGATAGACTATTTCATTTAGTCCAAACGTGATTCGTTAACTATTAACGGATGGTAGACTTGAATATGACTAAATGAACATTCGTTAATAGTTACCGGATGATTCACTTGAACAGTGAAAATCGAGTCAAACAAGGCTCCTCAAATGTGCATTTGTTAACTATTAACGAATGAGCATTTGGTAATACCAAATAGACCCTCGTTTCCAACCAAACCCATTCGTTAACAATAACTAATCCTTTCTATCAGTGCATAGCATATGGTGTTACTCAGACATCTTTTTTTTGTTTTACCTAACAATTTCACTGTTCGGAACGGCAGTGGGGGTAACGGGATTATTTTCGTGCACGGTGTCTTCGCGAATATTGCGCACTCGTGCGGAAAACAACCCCTTTACGCACACTAAACCGTTTCGAAAAGTGCACTTTTCAGGCAGGCATCACAAAATAGTATATTTCGATACGAATGAGACGGAATTTTCACGAGTGTGAAGTTGGCGGTCCACGGTGAAGCCGAGGAATAGTATATTTTGCGTCTACGGAGAGATATATTCAATAAAAATTACGTATCTTTTCCGTAATTCCGGAGCGAAATGTGGGTGTAGGCAATTTTACGGAACTGTCACGGAATTTTTCCGGAGCGTTCCGTAATTTTTACTGAATATTTCTCTCCGTGTCGGAAACCCGTGTAGCCCTAGGCGGGAACGATATTTTTCCGTAGTGACTTTCACTTTTGCCAGTTCGGAGAAGGGTCAATACCAATCCCCGGACTGGGAAAAGTGAAGGTCAGTACGGAAAATGTATTTCTCATCACTTCTGCGTAAAGTGAAATGTTGTGTGAAGAGTACGCAAAACCCACTTTCCACACATTGTGTTCTTAAAAAAAACACCTTTACGCACTTGTATCGCAATATGCCATTCTTCATTTTCCACCCATCTCTTCGTCGACAATTCCAACAGCAACATGAGCGACTTCAATATTTACTTCACAGAAATTGTTCTGCTGCCGAGTATTGACGTGTATGCCTCCGCGCGAAAGTCGCTCCCAGGCGGCACGACAACGACCCACCTTCACCTCGGGCAGGTCAACTAGGTCAATATCTCGGAATTCACCATTATCAATACACTCCACTCAATTCCATATTCCAAACACTCTCCTATTAAAAGAAACCCCAAAATATCATGCGATTCCCCTTTAAAGTTCCGCTTACAGTTTTCCCTTGATTGATCCCTCTAAATATCCATCAAAATATCCATCAAAACTATTTACAAAAATGTATTAAACGAATCTCCTCGGAAAATTTTACTCCAATGCTAATCGAAAATAAATCCAGATCGAATGACGCAAATTATTCCCCGACTGTTCGATAAAAATCAAGAATACTTTTCTTCATTTCCATTCAATCTCATCGTCAACAATTCCTACAACAATAAGCCCCGAATACACATGTCATAGCAATAATTCGAAGAAGTCAATCGATAAACGGATATCTATAAAGAATCGTCAGTGATTAGGGCGGCCAATGACCCCCGATCATTTATTGGTAGTCAGATTACTCTCGGATCACAACTTTGTACGCATCACTCCGACGATCGCACGCGACTCTTGTATATTTATATTATTCACTCTCCATTGGCTTTCCTTTTGCAATATTTTGGACGTCGACTAGGAGGGCGCCACGATGACCGAAAGGACAATATAAAAATTTGAAAAGTCCCCACGATTAATTGATTAATCAATCAACCAATCGATCAATCGGCTGTCACGAAGCTGTGACCGAAAAAATTTTACGCAGTAGAAAAAAAAAATCTGACGAAATAATTCACTCGAGACCGCCAGAATTTCGTATTTTCCAGCGCCGGCGATTTCCATTGGATGGCGCCAGCTGGTTCCCCCCACCCCTCCACCCCTCCGTAATCGTAAAATGTCACGAGACAGCGTGCGAACAGTTGCCGAGGCGATCGAATCGACTCCGATTCCCTCGATAATGCCGTGTGTTGAGTGTGAAATAATCGACCGACTGATAATTATTATTCCGAAGGACTCGACTGGAGGAAAAACACGTGGATAATAATCACGTGTTTATTATGCGCATTTTTGTTGAGTTCACGTGGAACACTGAATTCTCGGGACAGTCACGAAGTTGCCACAATGATACGGAGGCACTGTAACGTGCGCAATCGTGTAAGTTTAGTAAACATTTTGCGAAATGAATATACAGCGAGGTGTTGCAGTGAGAATTTTATGATGACTTTGATATTGCAGAGTACTGGATATGCAGTGTGAGTTGAGAGCAGAATGGACATTGATGAAATAACGTTCAATCCGTTCTTTCTTGTGCTGAGGGTTTGTAAATAATTATTAATTTCGGGATTAGGTTCTGAGGAATTTCGGAGTGAAGTGGGAATATGTCATGTGATAGGCTTGTTGATAAGGGAATTATCTCGGGGATGAGTGTTTTCAGAGGGAAATGTGAAGAATGATTTTTTGGAGCAGAGATTGTTCTTTAGAAAAAAGGTCTTGAGGTGTTTCGGTTCAAATTCACTTATTTCTGAAATAATTTCGTAATTAATAGACTGGAGGAAAATTTGATGAGTTTTAATATTTCAATAGTTAGTTTGTTCTCTTTTTCATGAGGGAAGTGAGAAAACGACATATGATAAATTTAATAATTATCCAATTATCTTGGGGATGAGTTATTTTAGAGGAAAACGTGATAAATGATTTTTTGGAGCAGAGATTGTTATTTAAAAAAAAGGTCTTGAGGTGTTTCGGTTCAAATTCACTTATTTCTGAAATAATTTCGTAATTAATAGACTGGAGGAAAATTTGATACGTTTTAATATTTCTATAGGTTGCTTATTCTCTTTTTGATAAATGAAGTGAGAAGATGATATATAAGTTTGGTAATTATCCAATTATGACGAGAATGAGTATTTTTAGAGGAAAATGAGAATAAGGGTTTTTTGGAGCAGAGATTATTCTTTGGAAAATAGGTCTTTGGACGTTCCGATTTAAAATCACTCATTTTCAGGGGAATTTCGTAATTAACAGACTGATAAAACATGTTTCAACACTCCAGTAGTTTATTTGTTTATTTTTCGATAATTGGAGCAGAATGGAGTAGTGTAAGTTGATGAAATCCATCTGTTGTTTTCGAAAAATTCTGCAGTGAAGTGAGAAAAAGAATATTACAGGTTTCATAATTGTCCAATCATCACGAGAATCAGTATTTTTAGAGGAAAATGTAGAATTGCTTTTTTGGAGCAGAAACAATTCTTTGGGAAAAAGGTCTCGAGGTGTTCCGATTCAAAATCACTTATTTTCTGGGGAATTTCGTAATTAACAGACTGATAAAACATGTTGCAACACTCCAATAGTTTAGTCGGTAAGAGTGCCCGGCGCGTATCTGGGAGACCCGGGTTCGATTCCCGGCTGGGTGAAGCGGAAATTTTTTCTCTCTAAATTCTAATTCTCTTAGAATTTTTTTTTATTTGTTTATTTTTCGATAACTGGAGCAGAATGGAGTAGCATAAGTTGATTAATTCCATCGGTTGCATTCGAAAATTCCAGAGTGACGTGAGAAAACATCATACGACGAGTTTGTTAATTATCCAATTATCATGAGAATGAGTATTTTTAAAGTAAAATGTGTAAAATGCGTTTTGGAGCAGTGATTATTTTTTGGTAAAAAGGTCTTGAGGTGTTACGAATCAAAATCACTTATTCCCGAGGTAATTTCGTAATTAACAGACTGATATAACATGTTTCAACACTCCTTGGTTGTTTGTTTATTTTTCGACAACTGGAGCAAAATGGAGTGTTTTTGAAAAGTTGTGAAGTGACATAAGAAAACGAAATATAACAGGTTTCGTAATTATTCCGTCATCATGAGAATGAGTTTTTTACGAAGAAAATGCAGACAATGTTTTTTGGAGCAGACGTTAGTCTTTGGAAAAAACACTTTGGACATTTTGACTCAAAATCACCTAAGATAATTTTGCGATTGGCGACTCAAAGAGATTTGATACGTTTTGATCCTCCAACCCTTAATTTTTGTTTCCAATCATCGAAACAGAATAAATTTTCAGAAAATAACATTCAATGGGTTGATTAATCCCATTACCAGTTTTCGAGAAATTCTGGAGTAGAGTGGGAAAATGTGATACAAATTTATTAAGTATGAAATTATCTCTATAATGATTCATTTCAGAGGAAAATTTGAAAAGATTCCTCTCGCAGCTGCGATAATTCTCTAGAACAAAGGTCTTCACACATTTCGTCTCAAAATCATTTGCAATACGTCAATAATTAGTTTATAATGTTTCACTAATTAAAGCGGCATGATTATTAACGAAACGGCCTTCACCAACTCGATAAACTATGTCACTATTTTTTTTACTACTTGAGTGAAGTAAAAAAACGTGAGGAAAGTACGAAAACAAACCGACGTGTTCGTTAACTATGGAATTCTCTCGAGAATGAGTAATTTTACAAGAAAATCTCAAAGACATTATTTTTAGCCAACAAAAATCTCTAGAGAAAAATTACATAATTTCATGATTATCAGATTGCAATAAAGCAATTAATTACGACGTTTGAATATTCATTTTGTAGAAAGAAAATCTGTTAATGTCTCAGGATAATCCCCTACTTAACGGACTGAGAAGACTTAATAATACGTTTGAACACTTAAATATTAATTTCATATCTAAAAAAATCATTTTTCAATCGCTTTAGGACAAATTCCGGAGGAAATATGATCTTGCTGTGTCCAAGTGTTGGGCCATCTGTGTCCCCTGCAGTGATTTCCTCAAAGATCTCACAATAACCGACGAATTTGTAGGTATGTTAACCCCCAAGGGGTCGCTCAAGCATTGCGTAAGCACATTTTCATACAATTTAACAATTTAACTCTTTCTCCCCCTAGTAAGGATATTTCTTACACTGATAACACATACATTCAAAAATCCTAGACCCCCTCCCCCCATCAATGCTTACGTAATACTTGAATACCCCTCAATACCGATTATCCTTCATGCTTCCCGATTTAATTTCACGTATGCAATTGCAGACGATCACATTCTGAAACCTGTGACCAAGTTGCCATATCACTACGTGTCCACCGATAGCCATGGCTCTCGCATGTACAAGTTCGAGGACACGAGGATTCGCCTGGTGCAGCGGAATGGAGAGTCTGTACACCCGGATTTGTACAGGGTGAAAATTCTCAGTGTCGAGAGAGGGTACAACAGTGATTTTCAGATGTACAATATTCTTATTGTGGATAAAGTGATGGATCCCAAGTATCTGAGTGCGCGCAAGCCTATTGGGGTGAAGATGAAGCTCAATCGAAGTGTAACTTGTTACAAAGAGTGAGTTGATTCATTCAATCCCATAAAATTCTAGGGTTTTCTGCGAGAATTACAGGACCTGGAGAAGAGATGTCTTTATATTTTCCTTGGAATCTAGTGATTTGAAAGATTTCAAGAAAATACTCTTGACAATTCGGTCTCTGTAGAATAAAAGGGCAAAATCCAAGTGGAAATCAGATTTTTGGGAATTTTTCTGCTCAAAAAAATTAAAGAATTCCACTGGTTTGAGATTCATAAGATGCAGTTGAATGTAACACAACTGGAATTCGTAATTTGATGGGTTTTTATTATTTCTGACGAAGTATACTCGTAAGAATTCATTCTACAATGTTTTTCAAGCCACAGATTTTATACGATTTCAATGTCATTTGGCTCATTTTATTCATTACACCATTCACCATTGAGTTAGTTATAGTTATACACATTAGCATTTATCACATTAACAGTTTCCATACGAATGAAATTTTAATACGAATAGTCGTAATTTCAGTATATGTCGGTATATTTTGATGCTTAGAAATTATTGCTTGAATTTTCAAGCAATAATTCTAATTTCAAGCAAATCCAGGCGTCTATAGCTTGGAATAAAGTCCACTGTAACGATTTCCTCAATGAATTTCAAAATATGCATTATCAGCGAAACTTCCACATTTTTTTAATTTAAAAAAGCAAAATTTTCCCGAATAATCGACATAAATCCGAAATTGATAAAAAATTTCGTCATGTACCCGATCTCCATAAGTTTATTCCTATTTTTTATGTCAAAAGTTGACAGTCTCTGCTGCTGAAATCAATAATTCCCAGGCCCATAGAATCTAAATGACCTCGGCGATTCCCTTGAATAAATCCCCAGTCACAACGCAACATTATACACTTAAAAAACGAAGAAATATAATTTTACTATTTCTAAACACATAAACCTCGATTTTCCAGAGCCTTCGACTTTCTCCACGAGATATCCTCCCAAGGCCGCCTCTCCCTGGTGGACCTCAAGTCCGAAGTGGAGAACCTCGACCTGAACGACTTCCACTCGGCCGAGGATCTCCGCAACGTCCTCCAAGAGTGGATTAGACGCCACTGGGCCCGCACAATGCGCCTCTTCACCCTGGACATCCAGCGTGACGCGCGCTTCCAGAAGCTCCTCAGCACCTCCCTGGAGATCTTCATAATGCACTACCTGCACGATCGTATCTACCAACTGCTGACAAACGCTCTCGATGAAGACGACCAGCGTATAAAACGAAAGATAGACCAACTGATCGACGTGGGAGTGACCCCAGACCAGTTGGGGGTCAAAGAGGCTCTCTCGATCTCTCTGCCATCAGCGATCGTGGAGATGGCGACGTTGGACGCTCGCCAGGGGCCCCTGGAGAAGCTTTCGTGCCTGAAGACGACACTTGACCTCATCGTGGCTGAAATCAAGGGCGCCTTGGCTGACGTGGAGACTAGAATCGAGTCTCACGAGGAGAATGACCTGATTGGAGCCAGGAGAAGCATCAAGGTCATCCCCACAGACGACCTGATCCCCCTCCTGATATACGTAATCGTTAAATCACGTCCCAGGAGATTGATCACTGATCTACATTACATTCAGAATTTCTTGTGGTCTGTGTCGCCCTACGATGGACTATCCTATGCCATGGTCACCTTCAAAGCTGCCATATGTACGCTACAAGATATTAATGTTTCGAGATTACCCAGGAGAAGCAGTAAAGTTAGAAACGAATTGCCTATTAATGAGGTTCTGGATGTTGTAACTAAGACTGAGTCTGATGTCACGCCAATAGATCGACAGGTGCGGGAATTGGCTGTGATGCTGGAGGAATGCACGAAGAGTGAAAGTAAAGGGAGACTCGATGGTAATGTTGAATAAGTAATGGTTGTGCAGTGACTAATAGTGACATGTCATTCAATCCTGGTAAAAAAGGTTCTAGGTGAGATAATCCTGTTCACATTCAGCCTGAATGCAATATAATCCTGATTATAATGATCCTGGTGGACATGAATCTTAGAAAAAAAAAGATTTTAAGTTGATAACTGACTTAATTTGATCAGTTTTCAAAAATCCTGACTTATTGGTAAGAATATTGATGTATTTTCAAATTCTATCATGTTCATGATATTTCGCGATTGTATTAAATCATTGACGGGGTTTAAATAGAATAGAAAGACTTGAAAAGTTCGACCTTTGGGGCATGAAAAATATATGGAACTTTAGTAAAAATTTTAACACATCATTTTTTTTTTACATTTTCACCGGGATTAATATGTTCAGAATATATTTTCCGGAATGGAGTGACATGTAATTATAACTAAATGATCAAATTAATTGATTAAGAAACTATTGCTCATATCTGCAGTACAAATATCGAATATAGTATAATTTTTTAGAATTTTTTGATGATTCTGTGGTAATGTAACAGAATTGGTGAAAGAAGAACGAAGCAAAGGTCTTGTGCCAGAAATATTCATTCTTATTATGTACATTTATCTTCGATTGACGAAGATATTGGTCATGTTGTATCCAAAGGGTTTACAATGGTATGTGGAGAGTGGTTAATTAATTGTAAAATATACAGTCTTTTGGGTAATTCATTTGTAATACCTTGTTGGTTTTTTTGTGGCTCGATCACTTAACAGTAGTTTGTACTTTGTAAAAAGATTGGACGTCACTGAAACTCGACTTTGAGTCTCATGGGTTAATTGTTGATTAATTATGATTGGTGGGTATCACGCAGGAGATTACCATCTTTGTCCTTGACACGAATTCTACCGTTTGAGTAACAAGTTTCTTGGGTGCCGTCGGGGTACACGTATTTCACTGTTCCATCGGGATATTCTCGTCTCTAGAAAATTGAGAGGGGAATTAGTGATTGATTCAGTAGTCAGGCGATAATCGTGAAGTGAAATTTATCAAAAAACTCATTTTTTTACACAATTCTATAAAAAATCATTAGCATAATGAAAAGGCTCTTTTGACATTTTTCTCTGAATCTGCTATTTTGGAGAGATTTTTTTAGTGTTGAGTGTTCAACGAATATTTTTATAATAAACAGATTTATGAAAAACGATTTTTATTTTTTGTGAGAAAAAAAATGCGATGTTTTTCGCACTCTTCTAGTTCTTTGTGTTTTATCGTGAAGTACTCCCCGAATATTTTCGGAAACAGTAGATTTACGAAAATATCTAGATTTAGTATTACTTAAGGATATCCAAGTACTTTGGCTATTTTTTCTCCAGTGAAATGCTTTTCCATTTTTGTAGTCGAAAATCAAAACTTTCATTTGAGCCCCATTTGGGGAATAGCTTTGAAACTATTGACTATTTTGACTATTTTTGCCCTCATTTTCCTAGTATTGACAAATTTAATAGTGTGGAAATATCTGCAGAGGGAGTAGACATGTTATAAATCATCACATAATAAGCAATATATTAAGATTATAAATCCTCAAATCTCTCCCCAATAAATTCTCCCCCTACAAAAGAGATGTCTTCCAATTTCCCTCGAAATTCACTATTTCCATCAAATCACCGAATAAATCCCCCCAAATTCTCTAACAATCTTCGATCCTCACCTTGTGCTCCTTAGTATGAACTTCTCTCTGTCCATTCGGCAATGAAAGTATCTTCTCCCCATTCGGAAAAGTCTCCGCAGCAGTGCCATCCGGCAGAACCCACTTCTCCACCCCATCAGGCTGCATCAGTCGAATGGACCCATCAGGGAATGACACCTCCACAACTCCATCGGTAGTTCTCCTCTCCTCCTGGCCATCCGGAAACTCAAGAATCTCAAACCCATCCGGATAAGTAGTGTGCCAGGTCTTCGTGGCAGCGTAAAAATACTTGATGCAGCCCTCCTCAGTGGTCTCCCTCACATCCCCATTGTAATAAATCATCTTCGTGATGTTGCGATCAGGATAAACCTTCTTGACATTGCCATTGGGATACCAGTACTCAGTGTAGCCATCAGGATGAAGAACTTCCCTAACCTGCTGCTTCCCCTGGGGACTGACCCCCTGCCCTGACATATCAGACAGATGACTGATTGTCACGAGATCAGCACGAGGCGTCATGCTGTCCAGGGGCTTCGGCAGTGGCTGCTCATGCTGCTTACGAGGAGTCAATTCAGACTCACTGGGCCCCACGAACTTCGGATGATCCACTCGACTCGTCAATCCTTTATTCCCTGAACCCTTATCCCCAGTGAATCTCCCCAACGTCTCCAGCCTCCCCTTCTCCTGCGCATCAATTCCCCTGCTCAACTGCTCCCCAATCGTCGAACGATGATCACTGGACGAAGAATCAGAGCTCAACTGCCTCGAATCAATCCTGGGGTTCAAGACATCATGAACAAACTGCTGGTAAGATCCCCTCGACTCAATATTCTCAGTGGACTTCAAAACACTAGGACTTCCACTCGTCCTAGTCCCACCCCCTTCCTTCCCCACTTGGTAATTACTCCTAGGGACAATCAGAGGATCCACTCCCTCCTTCCCTGACCCCTTCACCTCTGCATTCTCCTTCTGCCCTTGATCATTCCCAGAGTCCTCAGACTTCCTGAACACGTCTTCCTTGAATCCACTCGCAGCTTCCTTCAGAAGATCCTGGTACAAATTCCTTCGTTTAGCTATCTCCTCCTCAGTGGGGATCACCCTCTGTGAACCTTCGTAGACAATAACCTTGCCAGTGTCATTAGACGATACCAAATCGCTATTAATGTTCGAGGGAATTTTATCAACTCTAGGTTTAATCGAAGCCTCTTCTTCCTCTTCCGCCAAGTGCTCAGGCTTTTTCGCTGGAGCACTTCGCCTGCGATCCAAATGCTTGTTAATCTGATGAATAGCTTTGGTGTTGGACAGAGTGCCTGGCCTCTTCAGCCTCGCAGTGCCCCTCTTAGCAGACTGCACCTTCTCCAACTCCTGCTTCAACTTGGCGTTCTCCATCTGCAGAACCCTCATCTGGCTCTTCTGCCTGGCCTGAGCAGCCTGCCACCTCTGCTCCTTCTCGTTCATCTCATCCCTCAGCTCCTCCAACTGCTCCTTCAACACCTGCACCTCCTGGCGCTCCTGCTTCGTCTGAATGGACTTCTCCCTCGCATCCTTGAGACGACTCTCCAGCGCCAATTTCTCCCTCGTTATTCTCTTCTTCTCCTCTTGCAGCGCAGTCTCCATTCTCACCCTCTCTTTCTCCAGATTGTCTTCTTTTTCCTTAACCTCCTTCATTCGTCGACGATGCTCTTCTCTCAATTTCTCCCTCTCAGCAGTCAACGTCGTGTTCTCTCTCCTGAAGATGTCAATCTCCCGTTCCAACTCCAGGAGACGAGTCTTCAGGAGCTCCGACTTGAAGATCGTGCCCTCGTCAGGGTCTTTTTGAACCTCTGGAGCTCTCGCCGGAGTCACGTCTAGAATTGACAGCTCCTTAACCTTCTCGTTGTAACTCTCCATCGTCCTTCTGACCGCCTCCTGCAGCTCGGAGATGGTGTTGTCCTCGTCGTAATAAGTCCCTTCAGAGTCGTTCAGCACCGAGTGCTCGTCGTCTGTGCTGTGATCACTCGAGTCCTCGTAGTTCTGGAGATTTCTGGGCTGCATGGAACCCGGAAGTCTGGGCTTCGATGGGTACTTCATGTTCGATCTGTAGTTCTGGTGAGTCGTCTGGGGCTTGGGGAAACCCTCGACGTCTGACGACTCCGACGAGGCTGACTGCTCACTCCAGAGTTTATCTCCCCCACAATTGTCTTGTTGAGAGTCAGTCGAGAGCATTGAAGTGTCAGTCAATCCTATCGTTTTGTACTCGTTGTACTCGGCGAATCTCACGTGCATGCTGACGTTTGTCTCCTTATTGTCCTCATGGTAGTCACCAGGTTTCTCCTCCAGGGTCGAGTCCATCCCCGTGCTGGTGGAGACACTCGAATCGCTCTCCACGTCCTCCTTAAACCTCTCAATATCGTTATTGTTGTAGAGAAGAATCTTCGTGCTCGTCTCCTGCGACCCCACGATCTTCTTGACGTCCCTCTGACTATTGGTGAACGCCAGGGGAGGGGTGTTGTCCTCTGGGAAGGGCCCAGAGTCCCACTGGGAGATCACAATGTCCTTCTGCACGACTGTCTCACGAATCGCCCGAACTGGCGACCCCTGGTGCTTCGATTTCGATGGAGATACCATTTGTGTACTCAATTTTTGCTTGATGCTCCTGAGCTTGAGGGGCGTTGACTGCTGCATGAAGGCTATTACTGCACTGGAGGTCGAGCAGAAGCTGGAGTTTTCAGCCTTCTCCTCCAGAAACTCGAACATTTTAGTCTCGAGTTTCGAGGAGTCCAGGTCTGAGGGGTTGGACTCGTCCCCAGGCTTGATTCTATCACTTGTGGTGGAGCCTTCACTGGGTCTTGGGGTCTTCGGAGGGGAGGGAACAGCTGCAGACAGTGATTTGCTTCGAACCTTCTTGGGTGGGGGAACAGCCTTGAGGTTCAGCTTCTGCTGGCTCACTGGGGGTATCGATGGGGCACTTCTTCGGGAAACGTGGGAGTTTTTATTCTTCTGGGGCTCTTTAGGCTTCCCACTGCTTTTCGTGCTCTGGGTGTACCCCATGGCTGATAGTGACGCACTTCTGGGCCTTGTCGAGGACCTGGAGGGGTTGCTGTTGGGCTTGAATCTTGCTAGACCCTCTCCTCTCTTCAGGAAGGGCCTCTTTATCACATTCCTCTGGTCGTTGTGGGATCCCTCTGCAGCTTCTGACTCCCTCAGTCTCTCTTCTAATAGTGTGTTGAAGTCCTTCTTCGGGGAGGGGACTGGCACGTCGTCGATGGCCAGACACTTCTGGAGGGGTTTATTCTCGTTTGGCAGGGGCTCCACACCCTCCACAGAGACGTTCGAGGTGATTGTGAAGCCTCTGGGCGTCTCCACGATCTTCTCTGACTCGTAACCGTGGTCAGACGATGGATTGTGGCTCTGGGGTCTTCTGGGAGAGCTCGTGCTGGACAGGCCACTGGTCGAGGAGGTCAGGTGCAGTGCTGGGATGCTCAGCTGCAGCAGGGGTCGGTCGTCGTAGTTTGCTGAGGAGCAACTTGATAAGTCACTGGCTCTTGAGTCGTTCAACTTCACGGGGGAGTGGGTGACCTTCCGGCAGGCGTTTGGATGATTCACTGGGGAATGCACGACTTTTCCAGTCGATGGGGACATCTGGTCGAGGATACTCTCGTCGGAGATTATCTCTTTCAGCCCCAGGGCCTCGTACATACGCTCCTGCTCGATTGTCAAGAGCTCGCGCTGCTCGTGCTGCTGCTGGAGGAGCTTCTCCTGCTGCCCCTTCTGCCATTTTCGGAGCTCTTGGAGACGCTCGATTATTTTTGACTCCAGATCCATTCTTTAATACACACTAAGAGAAAAACAAACAAGTTCTCAAACAAGGGTTGCTTGGGTCGACGGAATCACTAGTTGAAAATTGCAAAAAAAATTGTTTGGTCCGAATTTGAAAGTCTCAAACGTGAATAATGGCTCTGCTTTCGATAATTACTTATTAATAAGAGAACGAAATTGAAAAATTATAACTTTTGATGGGCAAATAAAAAATCATTACTTATTGGATATTATTCCAAATAGAAAAAATCGAAACTTTTGATGGGCAAATAAAAAATCATTACTTATTGGATATTAATCCAAATAGAAAAAATCGAAACTTTTGATGGGCAAATAAAAAATTCAGGAGCGAAGCGGTAAACCGGGTCAAGTCGATTTTAAATATCTCGGAATCTAAAAGAGATACAAAAATTGTTGTCATAATCTTTTTTGTAGAGCCAACTGAGCAAAATTTTGCTATCTCTCTTAGATTCCGAGATATTCATCAAAAAATGGCCAAAAGGAAAAATCGACTTAACCCGGTTTACCGCTTCGCTACTGAATTATTACTTTCGATTCATTATCATTAAACTAGTGCACTCGTGCACCTCCAACTAGTTCGGTCCTATGTATTATTTTACAACGGGGGCACAACCATGGGAAAGTGTATTTCTATAATAAAAAGTGTAATGCCATACGAAAGGAAAATAAATCTATTATCCATTATCTATCTTTACTTTTGAATATCCAAAAAAAAATCAACTTTTGATGGGCAAACAAAAAATCATTGTTTATTAATAGGGGAGGGTGGGGTAAAATGACAGACTTTTTTTAAATTGTTCATAACTCAGAGACAAATTTATCAAATGAGTTCAGTTTAGGCTCGTCACAAAGGGAAAGAATTGTTCTTTGTATTGAAAAATAAAATTATTAAATTTCATCAACATTTCAACCCCTCATTGACATTTTTAAAAAAGTCAAGTGTTCGTTTTACCCCAACCTCCACTACGTAAATACAAAAATCACAATTTTTGATGGGCAAAACAGTCACTCTGAGCTTGTCAATTTGTTTCTCTGAATGAACTGCCAAAAGATACCGTAAAATAAATTGCAAGACTCAGAAAATACGTTGAATTTTCAAAAAAATTTGACACCTGGGACAGAGTAGGTATCAGAGACACTTGAACATTCAGATTTCCTTGGGTCTAGACAAGAAACTTTGTTTCTCTGTGCAGAGGGTTCAATGGACTTGATTGTCGTGGTTTATAACCTCTGAACAGAGACAATTGGGTTGTTCAGAGAATGGGAAATCGATAGGCTCGAGGGGATGTGCAGGTTCTGGGAATTGTTAAGCTGATTGTTGTTGTTTGCCATGGGGATGAAGAGACATTTGGTGAGTCTTGTGGCAGTTGGGAAAAATGAATAAAATGGAAGGAGTGGAGATCATGTTAATTATTGACCCAGGGCAGGTACTCACGAGGTTGATGATTACTCTGTGGTGATTAGTGTCACGATTATGATTTAGTGCCTTCGGTGATGGACTTAGGATTGCCAGAGCCGTTATTATTTCAAACTGACAACAAGTTGTTATCGCTGGGACGATTGGAACAGGGTGGCGAAGGTGAAGGAGTCTATGGAACTATTTTACGCGCCAAATGACTGTGTGGGGGCTAGGGAATTGAGACATGCGATGCCAGCGCCAGGGGATCAACGATGGGTACGGCAGGAATTTGGTGAGTGGTTAGCAGCTGTTGAATGGAACGAGTTCTTTGGAATTATTGGGGTGAATACTGGGATTTCCGGGGGGTTGCTAATTTTTTATGGGATTGGGGGAGTCCCTAGAAAGATGCTCCAATAGAAATGGTTTGGTTTTTTAAAATATTTTTCATGTTGAAAAAAATGGTTCTGGAGATGGAAAATCGCAAAAAACTAACTTTTCACCCTTGTAGTACCTTCAAGTAGGGGAGGGTGGGGTAAAACGGACACTTTTGACTGTTTTTTTAATGTTAATGAGGAGTGGAAATGTTGATGAAATTTAATACTTGTTTTTTCAATACAGAAAACAATTATTTCCCTTTGTGATGAGCCTAAACTGAGCTCAATTGATGAATTTGTTTCTGAGTTATAAATTATTTTAACAAATTCTGAAGTGTCCATTTTACCCCACCCTCCCTTACGTTTCGCAGATGAATAAATAATAAAAATCAGTAAATTGTAAAAAAACAACTGAAAAACAATTCAGTATTATAAACAGTAATTCGAGATGTCTGTGATATTTAGCACGTCATCCATAAATAATTAAAACCTTACGGATAAGAAATAACTGGAAAATGGGATTTTTATTTCATACAAAAATTCTATTCAATTTTTTTCCCCACACGTTGTAATTATAAGAGTGCTTTTTTTTCTACAATAAATACAACCACACACTTTTTTATTTTTAGAGCGCAAGAATAAAAAAATTGAAAAAAATACGAGGCTACTGATTGAAGTAAATAATAAAAAATACAAGATGATAAAATAAAATCACCACAAAAAACAATACTAAACTAAACTCGAGTGTCACAGCGTGACCATGGTTTAAAAAAAAATCAGATATAAACCGTTAATTTTTTTATATACGGGCTATCCAGAATTCTCAAAAGTATTTGGAAAGAGTAAAAAATGAAATTTTTTTTTCACCTGGAGCCAAAGTGTCATACCTGGGAGAAACAATAGAATTTTTTTATCGAATCGGCGAAAAAACAAAGTATTCTTCCACGGAATTTTAATTGAAATTTCTAACCAATGCCGTAATTGTTTCTGGATATTAAATTAATATTGCAAATTATTATTGTTATTATCGTGAAGATAATTACTTCTCCTTCAAAGCGTTGAAGATCTTCAGATTTAAGATCAAACAATCGTTTTAGTACAGCTCATTTTTTAGATATCCCTAAAGGCAACAAATTTAATAAAGAGTATTGAGAACAATTAACCCTAAGCTTTCATCTACATAAAAATGATTAGCATACCAACAAAATACTTTTTCACAGGATGAGAAAAATTAGTTTATTAACCTTCATAAATTAAACGTATTCCCATTCCCCTCGCATCCAACTCCGTCCCATGAATATATGAAATATGGTCAAAACCGGTAGTCCATTATGCCCAAAAAAACGAGACCGTTACAAAAGAAGTGGGAAAGGTTTCGAGCCCTGAGAAGAAGTGACGAGGCGGGGTCTCCACTCCGACTCTCCAATGAGCTCCACCACCTCATCTCCAATGAGATCCCCGTGGTCCAAGAATGGAGGACACGACCCATCCTCGAATCCCGCATCGAAGAACCCAATCATCCCCCGAGTCGAGAAATTTGGTCTTGAGTCCACTCAGAGATTGGTCGGTATTTAACTTCGTGCAATGATTCATTTAGTCGATTTTTCATCTAATGTTAGTAAAAAATTGAAAAAAAAATTATAATTCAGTAGCGAAGTGGTAAAACAGTTTAAGTCGACTTACCCCAGTTGAGTTTTTGAGGAATATTTCGGAATCTAATGGAGATAGCGAAATTTTCGTAATTATATTTGTTGTAGCTCTCAATCGGCTCTACAAAAAAGGTCATAACAAAAATTTTGCTGTCTCCCGTAGATTTCGAGATATTCATTGAAAACAAAAGAGTACCGTTTGTACCGTTTTACCACTTCGCTACTGAATTAAAAAAATTATTCGTGAGTGAATAATAGAAAGGGCAGGCGTTGTCATATACACGACGATGGAAATTAGAACTGTTCGGTGTTCTGGACTCGTGCTGAGGGCAGTTTGTAGTTCAAACAATTGTTGATTTTTGCATAATTTTTACATTCTAAAAAATTTTTTATTAAAAATACTTTTCAGTCCCTGCAGGAGTCTCCAAAGCCTTACTACAAGAACTGCAAACTCCCCAGAGTCGATGATAGTTGTAAATCGCATAAGAATCAATCACTATACCATCTTGCAGCCTCCTTAGAGTTATTAAAGCTCGAACGTTGCCAAATTCACTCTACACTGCCCGAGCGCGTTCAGCGAGTGCCGGCAACGTCGCACAACGGGCAATTTCATTTAACATGGAAAAAAATAATTCATCTGTTAGAAATAATTTGTTTCCTTTATGAATTTCGGGAATTATGTTGTTCTGAAAATTACTATAATTTTTTAGACACTTCAATTGAAAAAATCTGTGTTTTTTTTAATTTTCCGATTATCCAGTCAATGGTAATTAACGAAAAACAACGCGCTATGGCGTTTCCCTCATATGGCGAAGCTGCCGATGCGGAGCAAAATATCAAGACGTCGATCATGTCCTGTGGCACTGTCCAAATTACGATCAACAGAGTGTCAAATTATTATATAACTTAGGAAATTCACCACGTACTCTCTATACTACCAAAAAATTCGCAATTAGAATGCAACTGACCATAAATATACAAAAATAATTTGCAACAACCTCAAAGAATGTGAATTAAAAAGTACAACTGAAAAGTAAAACAAATGTAAAACAAAAAAAGGAGCCCAACTGTAATGCGTGTAACGAATTGAGAAATATAAAATAACAACGACAGTGTAAATAATCTATAATAAGGATTCCAGCACTCTAAATAATCCTAATAAAAATAAAAAAGTCCGTGAAGATCTTAGAAGAATTGAACGAACAGTGAGTGCCTTTTGATCGGTATTCGATCCATCCACCAGATAGAACCTCGTAGAGCTGCATTAGGTCATAAACCGGCCGAATTTTCCCCTCCGCCCAGCACCTCCAAATTGGATTCACCCCTTCCCACCTCCCCCGACCCAAATCCACAAAAAAATCCCGAAATCTCTTGCGCAAATTCAAAATAGAAAGTTACGTATTCTCCGCAAATACACCTGCTGAAGCCCAGCAGAACCTCGCAAAAACCTGTCGAAAAAATTTTTTTTTGCCGCAACCTAGAGGTTTCAGTCAAAGGCCGAAGGATTATCGAAGATTTCAGTCTCTTCTGTCTTTCCACCCCCGTTGCATTCCTCTCGCGCTCTCTCACCTAATCCTCCATTCGCCAAAGGCTGTGCCATAAAATGACCCCAAAAGTGTGCGTCAAACGAGGAAAAAAAAATTCCCTCCAGCCACTTTGGGTCACACTATGCAGCTATGCAGTGGACAGCGTTGTCCACTACATCCATCGGAGGATCTTCCCCCATAAAAACCAAAACTTTCCAAAAGGTTACCTGGACAACTACGAGGGTAAAAACCAAACGGGCCACATGGCCCCCCCCCCCCAGTACTCCGTCCCTGTTGTAAAATTAATATTGTTTAAATGCGGTTTGAAAAGGCTCAGTGTTTGCACGATTCTCTGCATTTGGGAGGCGAAATAGAGTGAGAGAGAGAGAGAGAGCGAGAGGGCATGACCGTTATAAAACGACCGAAAACGTGGCAGTGGAAACTTGGGGCAGACTTAATCTCTTTTTTTCCTTCTTATTTACTTTCTGCCTAGGTCTTGTTGCCTGTCTCCAAGATTTTTTAACCCCCTTACCCACCCCTCTCCCACGCAACACCGCTGCTCACGCACTTGATACGTGTTTAACCGAGATAATATTCAGACTTCCTGCTGAAACCATAACTCTGGTATTTTAGGCTCGGAGATAACAGTCCAACTCTTGATTTGATACAAGTGCAAATATCAAATATCGCGTTGTAAAATAGGGGAATTAATTTTGAGAGGTTTTGAGGGGGTCGGGTGGGTATCATGAGTTGATTAGCTAACGATACTCGGGGGTATCCTTGGTCGGGGATCCTGAAAAGTTCGTTGACACATGAGGAAACTTGATGCAGTGGGTAATGGAGTAGTGGCGTTTAGTTGCTAATTTTATGTAGAGTTATGATGGAGGTGGATTATTGCTGTCCGGGGGTTGTGCATCCCACTGGCGCTGTTATCGCGCGGGGAAGTTGCGAGTGTTGGGGACTGGGGATGGTGCAGGGAAAATTTTGATTGGGAGGTGGAAACAAATTTTTAATGATCGAAAATGGTAAATCTCCTTGTCACGCACGAAAAAAGTTAATGGAAAAACTAACGAACTCTAGGGAATTCGTTGGAAAATTCTGGTGCATTTTTATTGAACTTTCTATTAGTTTTTGGCCGATTCTATTGACATGTTCAATGGAAAATAGTCTATGGAAAATGGCAATAAAATCCGATTTTTCTGTATGACTTATTCCCTTCGGAGAAGAATTGGTACTTTCCTTTTTATAAAGGGGGTATAACCGGTAAGGAATAACAACAACAACTTATTCTCTTGAGATCTTTTTTATAGAATTTCCAGCGCTCAAATTTTCCAAGTTTTTTTCATTCTGTTTTTCTTCTCATCTCCTCAAGAAAATCAAACAAAAAAAATTGATAAATTTTGACTGACGAAATTCGGTAAGAAATATTTTTTAAATTGAATTATTAAATATAATTGGTTTCAATTTTTTAATATAATTCGCTAGATTTTTCTATTAACTTATTTCATCCGTGGTATCATTCTTATTATCTTCTTGGCCTTGGAACGTCTAGAAGGAGAAGAAAATCTGTTAAGGATCATCCTTGAGTTGTATTCACGGCGGCGCATTCCTGGAATTTTCACGAG